AAAGAAAGTATTTTGTATTTTGGTAATAACGGAAACTAAAACGAACATTTACCTAAGTTTCTCTTAAAAGATATCATATTTTGTCTCTGACAAACACTATAACTTTTAAAATTGGTTTATATTTATTGGATTTTGTGTTGGTGATATGTATTAAATTCAAAATTAAAGTTTCAAATGTGTTTTCGATTAGAAGACGAGATAATCATCCCTGATTTATATTTTATTTGTTTGTTTAAAGATTAAAATTAATTTATGCAATACAAGATGTGATCACGAATTTATACAACACCACCTCCAAACCCTACGAAAAACTCACATTCGATGGCCCATTAGTGTGTGAGGGCCAATGAATCCATTTCTTCCCTATACGTGAAATGTACCTTCGAAGATTTGGCATATCTATGAAAACTTTAAATAGACTGTATAAAAGAAATATAAGAAAATAAACCATTTCTCAGGCTTAAAATCAATATTTTTCTTTTTCATCCATATTTGTCATCGCATAGATGATGGATTCGTAGAATTTTGGGCATCATGACCAGCTCAAGTAAGATATATAGCAGCGACGAGCCAGGTCGATCAATTGAATCTCGGGTTAATCTAATGAGTCTCAGGTTTCACCTAATATAGTGACTAATCGAGTTTGGAATTGTAATTTATGTTCATAACCCACTTACTAATAATGTGTTGCCAAAATGTCCCTAACCTTGTATCAAAAGGGATTGTATACAATGAGACCATTTACCTTTGGTATAAGTAGATCATAATTATTTATAACCATCCGATGTAAAATCTGATAACTTGATTGTGTCACAAAGTTCGTAAAGAGTTATCTTGAATTTTGAGCTTGCTCAATACAATAAATACAATTACCCAATTTCACATTTAATGGTCAAGATTAATTATGACCACCTTGTACCAAAAATAACTAATTTCATTGTATACTTTCCCATAACAAAAATGATGCCTATTCTTCCCCAGTTATAATAACTCCCTTCCCTCTTTATAAAGCTGTTAAATTGTACAAATGTGGCATGTGAGAAGATGGTTGCTATCTTCAATAACAAAGTATTTTTCTCACCTTGAAGCATAAAAATCTTATATGCGACCAAACTACATTTTATGTACGTATTATAAATTTTGAACCTATAAAAGCCAAAAGATAACCCCTCAATGCTTTTGACATTCTACAAAAAAATGGTTACTATAATGCGATTTTTTTTTTTTCTTTTTTTTTAGTGGAGGGGGGTAAATCAATACGGATTAGGGTCCCTATCTTTGGTGAGAATAAAGTCCGAAACTCTGTCATGAGGTTTTGGCGGTACTACCACCACAACCCCAGCCCTCGTACTCAATTTAAGATGATCCCTGGATATGCAAATAACGACCAATTTGGTAGAAGAAGAGTATTTCGTATAGCCGCAGCCTGCAGGTTTATTCAACCACATCTTAAATCTTAAATTAAATGGAATGCCAACACCCAAAAACTTACAAGTTGATCATCTCTACTTTGGTGATCATGTATATAAAAAATATATTTTAAGCTCGAAAGCGATCCATTTTGTAGCATCCTTTCTTTTCTTTTTCTTTTTTTTTTTGACAGGAATAACAAATATTATTAAGGCAAAAGTGAAATTACAATAAAACTTTAAAATAAAATAGGAGATGCAACGAGTGAATCCAAATAGACTATTTTCTTAGCCATTTCATCTGCAACGGAATTGATTTCTTGGTAGACATGAATGATGGAAAACCTACAGTATGAAGGTAGATCCATCACTTTTTGCATAAAGAATGTAGCCGCCAAGGAGGTCCTGACAAGCCTTTTCACCAATTCATGACATTGTTAGAATCACCTTCAATAACCAAGTTTTTTTCCAAACCCATATCTATAAAGATCAACAATCTTTGTAAAAAAGATTCAAACTCAGCATGGTTAGCAGTTACCATTCCATAAGGACCTGCATAACAAAATAAAATTTGACCTTCACTATCTCTACACACCCCCTACACCTGAATGCCCTGGATTCCCAAAAGATGAGCCATCAAAATTCAGTTTCATACAATCTACATTGGACGGATTCCACCTGCACTGTGGCCAAATCTTGATAAATCTTTGAATGATCAACTTATCCAAATCATCTTCAGCATCAATCCTAGAAGTACCTCAACCTTCATTTGTTACTTTGAACCAACTCCTTGTACAAAACACAATTTTTTTTTTTAATTCCTCAATACGTATAGCCACACTACCAAAAGTTCTTATGTACCTTTCAAGCCACAATTCCCATATAAGAGCACCCTTCGAAAATATCCCATAGCAATTCCTCCCATCTTTGGAATCCCACAAACCTTTAGTTGACTCATCCAAAAACACACACAGAATGGGTAAAAGAATTCTTGCTTTTTGTATTGTCCAACACCATAACTAATAAGTACATGGGCATTGCAAAAATAGGTGATTAGCATTCTCCTCGTCTTATTTGCAAAATAGACAACCATTCACAATGACCTTTCCTCTTTTTTTTAGATTGTCCACTGTTAAAATTTTTTTTTTGAAACAAAATCCAAATAAAAACTTGCACCTTATAAGGTATTCGCCATTTCCGGATCTTTTTTAGGAAATGTTGATTCAGACCGGTCGTCTATAACTCTCATACACCCTATAACTTGCATTACTTGGAAGATGACTGATGACGTCTTTCAAGGTCTTTAGTAAATCTACATATTGAGCCACCGCGATGTGCTGCCAGATTTTGTAGCAGCCTTTCCATACCATTCTTTTTAAGTTTTTACAAATCTGCCAAATCAGTTTGAAGCTTCTGATTTCATTTGTGGAAATGGACTCGCAAGCATCACAATCATTCCTTGTGCGATTTGGTCTTTGAGGAGAGTCTTTGAGATGCGACCCTACCAAATTTCATGAAGCAATTTGCTTATCCATCATTATTTCTTGCCAGATAGGGCTGGTAATGGGGTGGACCAACCTTGCTCACTATAGGGCTGGCCCAAGCCCTGCCAGAACTTATTTGAATAGGCCCTGGCTGTGTCAGGGCTAGGTCAGGTCCAGTACAACCAAAAGAGAAAAAAAAAATTTTAAGGAAAAAAAGGTTGGGTTGGGGCCTGATTGTAGCCCTACCCTTAGCTCGGCCCGGCCGTTAGGCCATGGTGGTCTGGCCCTGGCCTAGCCCTTGGGCCACATTTTGTAGCCCAGGCCCTAATTTTTTTAAGACTTGGCCTCCTGGCTCATTGCCACTCCTAAGAAAAATATTGTGAGCCAATTATAATTGCCTCACTAGCAAATTCACTTAGAACAAAAACGGATCACGAAAGTTGCCAAGTTTCTTCTTTCATAAGTTTTTGATAAGTTTTCACATTATTGGGATTCCTCCATTTTTCACGAATATGTTTGTCATGAAATTAACTGGGACATGGATTTTTACTTAGAAAACAACATTATGAAGTTCGAAAACAAAGTTCTTCATTAAAGAGTCCCTTTGGGTGATCTCCCATTTGAAAATTATTCTCGCCTCGTAAAGAAGCCTTCCATAAAGTCAGAACTTTTATTTTCTCCTAGAACGAGTATTTAATTTCAAGTTTGAAATTTTTTTTACTTTGAGTATCAAATGCTTTTCTAGTTTGGAATCATCAAGCACGGTTCACGGAGTTTGATTTTTTAATTAAATGTGCTAACATGCTCTATACTAAAAATAAAATGGTGTGGTTTATGTACAGCCCGTGCTCTAAACAATCAAAGTAGAGCGCGTCTTCAAATAGTATCGAGAAATGTGGTTTTAATATTGGAAATCTTTGTGATAGCCTTAAAACAAATTTTTATATTTAATTGTATAATTTAAAGCTTTAGAAATAGTGTAGATCGAGCAGATATATGAAAATTTTAAAAACTTGAAAATTGACGGTCTAAAAATGCATTACAAGATGCACTATTCTAAATTTTGAAATCCAATTTTCTCATGTCCATGCATCTTGATATCGAGATGATCAATTGGAGGATATTTGGGCATCAAAACAACATCTTTTAATGAAAAATTTGAGGTAGTCTCTAATTTGATTGTTTAAAGCCTGTCCTCTAGATAGACTTTATTCAAAATAAAATGTACCAACCAGCTTGAGAGTTGAGAGGCATGGCATTAGGGGTGGCACCCGCCTGACGGGTCGACTAATTGGCGTTGGGGTTTAGACACAAACAATAGATCCTATGAACCAAATAATAAGGATGGGTTTCTACGAGTCAGCTGACTCATACGGTACATATACGGTCTCCACTTAATTTACTCTTACAAAAAGATTTTTAATCTAAACTTTTACGGATTTCTTATTTAGGTTAAGATGATCATGAATACGAAAAAAAACAATTTTTTTAATATTTAAAATGTACTTTGTTTTAAAAAAATTTTACACCACCTAAATTCGTTTTTGGCCCATGAGCTTTTTACATCGTCCATAATGACTGCAGCCGTTGACTCATGGATAAGTTATCACTTTGTTTTATTTTTTATTTTTATAAGTTTATATAGAACCGTGGCTCTAAACAATTAAATTAAGGCCTATATAAAAAATTTCATTAGAAGAAAGTTTTTTTAATACCAAAATATCCTCAAATTCATTACATTGACATTAAGATGCATGAACATGATAAAAAAATAGATTTTTTTTTAGAAACAGTGTATCTTGTACTGCATTTTTTTACCATCAATTTTCAAGATTTTCATAGATCTGCTCAATTTACATTATTTTTGAAGCTTTAAATTTTATAATTAAATATAAAAATATATTTTAAAACTATCACAAAGATTTATAGTATTGAAACCACATTTTTCGATATTATTTGGAGGTAGGCTCTAATTTGATTGTTTAGAGCCTCGGTTCTATATAAACTGCACCCGAAAAGTTTTGGGACCATCTTCGTCATTGTGAGAAAGTTTTGGGTCTTGTGCTCGCTTGCTATTCACTCCGTTTAAAAACGGCGGCAACTCACTAAACCCTTTCATCACCTCCCTCCCAGTTTAGGGTTTCTCCTCAATTTAGAGGGTTTTTTCTGAAGGTGACTGACAATTGAACCAGAGGAACAAAAGTTTTTCATCTGATCTCACTCCATTTCTAGGGTTTCTCTTCTTGTTTTCTGACAACCAGTCGAGAGGAACCCGATTACTAATGGCGCAGTCTCTTGAGCTTCTTCTCATACAATTCTTAATGCCTGATAACGATGCTAGAAGGCAAGCAGAGGAGCAAATCAAGAGGCTCGCTAAGGATCCACATGTGATTCCTGCACTTCTTCAACACATGCGCACTGCAAAGACAGCCAATGTTCGTCAATTATCAGCTGTTTTGCTTAGAAAGAAGATCACTGGTCATTGGATGAAGCTTTCTCCTCAAGTGAAGGATTCTGTGAAGTCTGCTCTCATGGAGAGCATTACTGTAGAACATAGGTCAGGCTTCTTTTCTAAGATTTGGGACTTAGTGTATCTTATTTCTCTGTTGTTTTGCTTGAGATTTAGAATTTGTTATTAATTGTGTTGTTATTGTTGAGAATTACATGAAGTTTTCAAATGAGCTGATTCGCTTGAGGTGTTAATTGAGTCAATGTTTCAAAAGTGATTCCAATTGGTTATCTTTTTTCGCAATTTGTGGAATGTTTATATTATTTTTGAACTCTATGTTTGAAATGGTGAATGATTTTTAAGAATCTTTGGAAGAGACCAATGTGAGATATTTAAGTAAATTTCAAGAAATAATATTCCTGATGACTTGGAAACCCTTACCTGCTTGTGTACTTAGGACATGGGCGTAGTAATGAATTTTTTTTATTCTGATGCAGATGTTAGTATGGTTTTGGTTGTTATATTTGTCAGGTTTTCCCTTTCAGTTATGTTCTAAAGGCCTCCATCATTGTTTATTGATATGGTGCGTGTTCTTCACTGTTCATGATTAAGTGTGACTTTTGAAGTATGCACGGAAGTTGGAGTTGTGTAAGAAATTTTTGTTGTGAAACCTTCTGTTCTTGTGTGGAGCATGGAAGTGGTGATGTCGATGAGTACTAAGTTTCGTTTATAACATTCATCTAGTTAACATATAAGAGAAAAAATACTTATATTTAGTGTACATATGGCCAGGTGCAATCTGTTGGTGCTGTTATGAACTGTTTTTTTTTAATGAAGTGGTGCTGTTACAAACTGTTGCTCACAATATATTGAGCGATATGGGAATTGATGGTGGGGACTATAATTAGCACTTCTTAGGAGGCTACATGAAGATGCTATATTCCTGTAAGCCATTTTCACGAAGGATTAAGTTTTCTGGCCATATTTCTATTTTGCAATTTTGGACTTCAAACCATACTAGGAAACACCGTGATAGACTAGGAAAGTTTAATTCACTAGATATAAAGGCAACACAAAACCATCGAGAGAGAAGTCGCTTCATTACAAGTTTCTCATAAAAAACTCAATCAAGAGGACTAAAGAAAAACCTGAAAGCAGACTTACCTGTGTATCTTCGTTTTGCGGCTTGTCTTATTTGAAAAAATTATGCAATTCATAGCAGAGCCGATCCCAAATAATTGGGATAAGGCTTGGATGATGATGTTGATGCAATTCAAAGCAGAATGAAAGCATCCTTCTTGCAGTTCTTCATTCTTTACCCAATCCTCAGGTTCTTAGAATATCCTCTATGTTTTATTTTTTTAAAGGAAATCTAAGATTTTCCTCTTTTGAGCTCTCCTATTCTAGGAACCTCGGAAGGAATACCCAAACCAAGGTCTATTTGGGAGCTCTGCCTTTTTGGAACCACTGAAAAAAATGCCCCCATAAGGTTTATAATAGTTTTTTTTTTTTTAACGACAAAACCTATTTTGAGGTTGGCTTCCAAATTATCACTCAGAATATTTTTATCTGATTCAAATTTTCCTCAAAAAGAGCAAAACTTCCTAAAACATGTCTTCACTATACTATCTTCTATTTTTACTGATCTGTTTCACTTGTTTAGTAGTCAAAATAGATTATCATGTGCCCTTTTATGATTTACTTTATTTGGGGACCAGAGAAGCATCCAAAGATTAAAATACTTCCTCAAATAAAATTTTCATAAAACAGATTTTTGGTTTTTTGCAAAATCTAATCTTTGTCTAAATTACAAAATTTTTGCAAAAAGTTGATTCATCTCCAACTTAAGAAACTTATCCCCAATTTCCTAATATCTTTCCATATTTCATTTGCTGCTTTAATTTTTATGTTGGGAATTTCTTTTTTGCATCCTTCCATGCATGCTAGGTACTAGTCACAACATCATGTCCCATAATTTTACAATACTATAACCAGGTGCATCACTCAGCCCTTTGATTTTACTTTTTTTGGGTGATAAAGTGACAATTTCATTTATCAAAGCTGTTCTACAAATCACTTGGCATTTTAGATTTTGTTCTTAGAAACTTCACATGAACAACTACAGAAACACATTGATTTGGTTTCTAACAACATGAAGATTTGAGATATTTTTTTATTTGTCTGTGTAGTGCATTTTGTTTTGGAAAATTTGGTTTGCACACGCTAATTATATTTTCATTTTTAATATTTTATCGTTAGTAAATTACAAAGACCTCAACCTTATACTTAAGGCTTGCTTCTTGGGTATAGAACTAAGGATGACATATGAACCGGCTGATAGATGGGAGGACTGTGCTTAATACGGAATGAGGGATATGGCACATTGTATTACATGCTGCAAATCTATGTAAATGTTCAAAATGTCATTGTAGCTTATAGTTCACTATTTGTAGCCTGTAAATCAATGTTATTTCACTGCAGATGCTTCTATGAATCAGTTTCGCCTTGCAATTCAGTGCTAAATTAGATTAAAAGGAAACTAGTGCTAACTTCTTCATTGTATCATGAGTCTTTGCTGAAAGTCTGCATGCAACCTGATTAAATTAATACTGGGTTGTCTTGTAAGCTACTGTGTGCTTGTCAGTTCCAATAGTGGAAATGTTTCCGACATTTGAGTCATATTGTGGGTGTTATTTTACTTCGCAAGTCATTTTTATCACTTTGGGATCTCCGCATGGCATTTCTGACAACCATTTCTTCAGTGCGGAAACACATAAATTTGTATTTCTTGCATATGCTAGGAGAAATGCATCCTTCATAATTGCTTTCTGGAATCAGAAGCAAATCATCGTTACACATCATTTAGTGATTGCTAGGAAGCATCATCGATTATTTTACTGGCGGTAACAGAGGTTAAAACTTCAGGGAGTTCCCAGCACCCAGAACCGGCATCCACCCTGCTGGTTCTGGATGATCTTGACTCAGGTATCCTGAGATTTGACTGAGTCCATTTGAGTCTTCTCATGTCTGACTGAGTTTAAAGTACTAGTGATAGTGATCAAGTCTTGACCGGTACTAGAATCAGGACTCAGAAGCTGACTCGGAACTTCTCCATTTCCATATGTTTGCTCCATTGCATTTTTTTTTAAACACTAGGCAAACTTTTTTGTTCACATCTATCACCTCCCTTTTTTGTTTCTTATGATTGGTTAGATTCACCTTCATATCATGGTGTTCTTAATTCGATTGAATCATTTCCATCTGGCTGTTGCTGTACTGGTAGATGTTTTTATTATGCGCTCTATTTTATTGGCACATATTTCTATTTCCATATTTATGGGGTAGACACATGGAAGTAATCAACGGTATTCTGTAATATTTGTGTGTTTTTGGCTTCCAGTCCTCCAGTTAGACGTGCTAGTGCAAATGTTGTCAGTGTTGTTGCTAAGTATGCCGTCCCAGCTGGGGAGTGGCCAGAATTGTTGCCTTTCCTGTTCCAATGCAGTCAAAGCCCACAAGAAGATCATCGGGAAGTAAGGAAATTATGGCATACCATTCTACTCTAGGCTAATTTCATTGGTGGTTGGGTGTTGTACTTCCTTTCATTTTTTAATTTCGAATGGCAAGCTAGGTTAACCTCAATTCTTATCGAAAACTATAGAGACCTTGAATGATGATAGTTTTTTGAAGTTCTGGTCAAAATTAAAATTCTTGCAATCTTGGTCCTTGTCACTTGCAATTATACTCATGGTTATCAAATGCGGGATTTGTTGTGAAGCACTAGGGGGTCTAATGAGCTATACACCTCAATGCTGCCATGCTAATTTGAACTCAGAGAGAAAAATTGATTACCAATAAAGTTTGGTTCTATAGGGTTTTGGGGAGGACTGGGAGGTTTTTTATATAGAGTGAATGATATGAGACTGGATTACGTGCCATGATTGCAGCTGCACATGTGGGCTATGAGCCACCCAGTCAGGTGCATCTTGCATGCCCACCTTGGTGGGGTCGCTCTGCTTCGATGTAGCCACATAACGTGATATGCTGCAGCATTTGATAACCACTGGTCAATAACATCCCTCTAACTAAAAAATTACTCATGACATACATATCAACTATTATTGTAATTAACTTATTTGTTGTATGTGAGTTTTTGAGTTATCCTTTTTTGAGTGTATTTGCTTGTGTTCAATTAAGTTTCCAATTTTCTATTCAAGAGGAATTGCATGGCTTGAATGAAAGTTTCATTGCCGTAGCAGCAGTAGAGTATTCATGTGTAAAATTCTTAATTCTTTCCAGGTAGCATTGATTCTTTTCAGCTCTTTGACTGAAACAATTGGAGAGATGTTCCGACCGCATTTGGCTACATTACAGTCTCTGTTCCTCAAATCTCTACAAGATGAGACCAGCACCCGTGTTAGAATTGCTGCACTAAAGTAAGGAAATCCTCATCCTCTTCTTCTGCTTCCATTTGCTGTTTTGTCGAATAATCTTGAATTTGTTATATACATGAACTATGTGGTTCTTGAAGGCTACTCATTTTTCATGGTTTGAGTTACTTTGTTCTTTTTTGGTCTTTTTCCAGGGCAGTTGGATCTTTTGTGGAATTTGTACATGACAGAGATGAAGTAGTAAGTTGAAACACGTGCACTGATTGTTTATTTTACTAGTTTTCAATGTCTTCTACAAACTCATTTTAATAAATCTTGAATAAGCTTGTTAAAATCTCAGTTTTTAAGTGAAAAGTATGGTAGAGATAGTAAGAAGACCTAGCATAACTATTCATCACCTGATGTATGGCAATCCTTCATTCTCTGGTTGCTTACATCATGAGTTTTACATATTTCTAGAGAAAGACAATCTACTAGGCAAGACTCTGGCAGGTCTTATGTTATACTTGATGACATACACCATCCTCTTCTTCTAATCAGATTGGTACTAAGGCTGTCTCTGTTTAGGATTGCACTCTCTTCCTATCCTCTTGGGTTCTGCTTCTCCTTGTTCTGGTGTCATGAGAAACTTGTTATTGGCCCTTTGGGATTCTCTTTAAAATTTTCAGTCTGCGTTGTCTTCTTTAACACTTCTCAGTGCATGGTCCTTCTTCCTTGTTGTACAATAGAATTTCTAATGCCTATTCACTCGGTGCTCTCCTTTGACTCATGTTCCTCACCCCTTTCCACCTTCTCTCCTTCATTGGCCTGCACTTGATGGCCTCTCCCATGAGAGCTGATGGCCTCTCCCTTGTTCTCTCCACCAAAACAAATCTATTGCATCCACCAGATACTTTCTGATGTCTCATCATATTCAAGCTTCTTTCTTCTGGACTTGGATGAGACACCCTTAGAGTTAGAGCAATAAATTTTCTTCACTCTGTTTGAAATGTAGGGCTTTGGTGGAAGATTTCCTCATATGCCTCAAATATTAGATTTGAATGCTAAAACATTATATAAGAGGTTGGGACTCAGAAAACCAAGATGGAGCAACAAATTGCAGACACTCTCTTTCTAGATACTAGAAAATTTAACAAGCTGTTGATACCCTCTGCCAATGGATGCTTAGACACTTGAGTTGGTTGAAATTGGTCTTGGTTTTCTGTTTTGTTTGTTTTATGTGATTGTGAAGCACTGGCTGGTGTTCCTTTGGTGACTATTCATTTGAGATCATCTACCATGATGCTCAACTCTAATCATGTGATCATCTGATGCAGGTAATGGTCCGGGAGCTAATTCCGAGCATTTTGAATGTATCAAGGCAATGTTTGGCAAATGGTGATGAGGAGGTTGCTGTAATTGCTTTCGAAATATTTGATGAGCTTGTGGAGTCCCCTGCGCCTCTTCTTGGGTCCTTTGTGGTATCAATTGTTCAATTTTCACTCGAGGTTAGCTCAAGCGAGAATTTGGAAACAAATACAAGGCATCAGGTTTGACCAGATCTTTATTTGTTTTCGCATGCATAACCCATACGCATTACTTTATATTATCTAGGTTATTTCTTGGTTGCTATCTTATTATATCTCTTTATTTCTTTAGGCTATTCAGATTATTTCTTGGCTTGCAAAATACAAGCCCAAGTCCCTTGTGAAACACAAGCTGGTTGTTCCTATCCTACAAGTCATGTGCCCTTTACTAGCTGAGGCAAGCCATGGTGATGATGATGATGATGATCTCTCTGCGGACCGAGCTGCTGCAGAAGTTATTGACACAATGGCTGTAAATCTTCCAAGGAAGCTTGTTTTCCCACCTGTTCTTGAATTTGCTTCTATTGGTTATCAGAATCCAAACCCCAAATATAGGGAGGCTTCTGTAATGGCATTGGGGGTTGTCTCAGAGGGCTGCTTCGAGTTGATGAAGAACAAGTTGGAAGATGTTCTGCGGATAGTTTTAGAAGCTTTAAAAGATCCAGAACAACTGGTTAGAGGGGCTGCATCATTTGCATTGGGCCAGTTTGCTGAGCACTTGCAACCCGAGATTGTGACATACTATGAAAGTGTGCTTCCATGCATTTTGAACTCTATTGGAGATGCATCAGAAGAAGTACAGGTGAAGTTTGGAACCTGATAACATCTAGCTAATCAATACAACGTATACCTTACCTAATAGCTTGAATGCCTAATTTATTACAGGAGAAATCTTATTATGCATTGGCAGCATTTTGTGAGAACATGGGAGAAGAAATACTTCCATTTTTGGGCCCTTTGATGGGGAGATTACTTGAAGCGCTGCAGAACAATTCTCGTAATTTGCAGGAGACTTGCATGGTATGGTGTTATCTATACTCATTGGACAGAGAAGTTGGCATTTGTATGAATTAGTTAGTGAATGTCTTTTCGAAGTTTGATGGCACTGAATCCTTATACTTCCTCTTGCAGTCTGCAATTGGGTCAGTGGCAGCTGCAGCTGAGCAAGCATTTATTCCATATGCTGAGAAGGTTCTCGAGATGATGAAAAATTTCTTAGTGTTAATTCAGGATGAAGACCTTCGTGCACGGGCGCGAGCCATTGAGCTAGTTGGAATAGTTGCAATGGCTGTCGGGCGTGCCAGGATGGAGCCTATATTGCCTCCTTTCATTGAAGCCGCTATCTCGGTATGTGTTGTGATCATTAAATTTGTTAAAAAAACATAAGTAATATTTTGAAGCGATGAAGTGCTATTTTCTTTATTAGGGTTTTACTTTGGACTTCAGTGAGCTTCGAGAATATACACATGGATTCTTTAGCAATATTGCTGAAATTATGAATGGAGGGTTTTCTCAGGTAGGCTTTCAGCAACACTTAGTTCCATTTGTAATTTCTTTCCTTAGCAGTCTGCTGACAAATTTTCCAAATAATGACATTGCCCTAATTTGCAGTATCTTCCCCATGTGGTTCCCTTGGCATTTTCTTCATGTAATCTTGATGATGGCTCTGCTGTTGACATTGATGAATCTGATGGTGATGAGAGTGTATATGGTTTTGGGGAAGTATCGACCGATGATGAAGCACATGATGAAAGGAGAGTTCGCAATATAAGTATCAGAACTGGTGTCTTGGATGAAAAAGCTGCAGCCACTCAGGCCCTTGGCTTGTTTGCATTGCATACAAAGAGTTCTTTCATACCGTATCCTTTCTCAGATGCATCCAGTTTTTTTCTTTAAATTCTTCCAATAGAGTTATGCATCTCTAGTTCGGTATTTGGAATCTTTAATTGGCACAAAGCTATTTTGAGGAGACAATGAAGATTTTGACGAAGCATGCTGGCTATTTTCATGAGGATGTTCGTCTTCAGGCTATCATTGCTTTAAAAAGTGAGTATAAGTGATATGTTTGTTGTTGCTTGTGCCTACATATTCTTCCCGTTTTGCTTCGATATCTTCCCTTCCCGTTACAACCTAGGTTAGAGTGGTTTTCTATGAAGTCTTACGAGTATTGGAAAGTTTGAGAATAATTTCGTTTGTTAGTTACTGAAACTGGCTATTCATAGTTAGTGGTATCCTATGGCGAATGGGAATGTAGGGTTCTTGGGAACCCCTCGCTTGTGGAACCAAGAATCCCAAATACGGGATCTCACCCAAGATTGTGTACATGATTGATTAAATGTGAAGTAAGATGAATATAACTATAAATCGAGTGCAAGAAATAAAAAAAACATAAAAAAACATACAACACCCGATTTACATAGTTCACCCTGTAGGGCTACATCCACGGCCTCGGCAACTAGAAATGCACTATCACAATAAAGATTACAGTTTTGGGTTACAAGATATATACCTCTCTGTAAACATTGGTAAAAACCCCTCACCGATCTTCCCTTCTAAGCCTATTCTCCTGATCAAGCAACACCGTCGATCAATATCTTCTTTCCCACCACAATACCGCTACTGGAAAGATAACTTCGGGAGCAACCGAGAAACTCTCTATAGAATTGGAAACTAAATCACCCAAAACTTCATGGGAATAACGCCTCTATCTAAGTGGCCATATCTCTCTCTCTTGGAGACACATCTCCTCTTTGAAGATCCATTCCCATAACCCCTAATGGGGTGACCCTCAACAGGATGGGTATCATGTTTCCTTGAATATCTTATATAGAAATCACTTTCTTGCTTCCCAAAAAAGTCCCATTTCTTTTTACCCCCCTTAGTCTTTAGAAGAAAATGTGGGTATAGTGATTTGGCTATCATTAAACCGAACAATCTCCACCTTGATTGCAAAATTACCATAATTGCCTTGACAACCTTTTTTGAATGGATTTCTTGATTTCTTCTCACTTGCCTCCATTGTAGAATTTTCACAAGCACTTTGCCTTCATATTTCACCATGTTAAACCATGTATCAATCTAGCTTCGCCATTCATCTTTTTTCTTAGTGAAAGCCTTAGCCTTGTACACACCTTGTGCTCTGATACCATTTGTAGGGTTCTCGGGAACCCCTTGCTTGCGGAACCGGGAATCCCAAATACCGGATCCCATCCAAGATCGTGTACATGATTGGTTAAATGCAAAGTAGATGAATATAACTATAAATTGAGTGCGAGAAATAAAAAAAACCATAAAAAAGCATATCACAAAAACACACAATTTACGTGGTTCACCCTGTAGGGTTACATCCACGGCCTCGACAACTAGAAGTCCGCTGTCACAATGAAGATTATAATTTTAAATTACAAGAGATATACCTCTTTCTAAACATCGGTAAAAACCCATCATCGATCTTTCTTAGTAAAACCCCTCATTGGTAAAAACCCCTTGGTCACAAATCGTGACCTACATTCACGAGAGAATGGTGCGAGGCCTTACCGACTAATTTGATGAAGATTACAAGAGAGATTGAGGTCCAAAGCTCCAATTTCTAGCAGCTTTACCTCTTTACGAACAAGATCCAAAACAAGGTCCAAAAATACTACAAAGTGTATACTTTCTCTTTCTAAAACAACGCCAACAACATGACACAAAAAACCCAAATGTACATGATCCAAAATTCCCACTCTTTCTCTACAAAGTGGGGGAAAACATGGTACAACCAAACCCTACATGAGTTGTTTCTTTTCTTCTCTTTCTCTCTCTAAACTAAAGAGGTTCAAGCCCCTTATAATTGGAGCTTAGAAGACACCACAGCTCTTGGATTAGAAACCAATCCAATGGCTTAGAAATGAGAAGAAACGTCAAATAAAAAGACGTAATATATGATTTGGCTTCACGCATGTAACAGTCTCCCACTTGAAGACAAATCACCGAGCATACAAATAATAATCTCCCACTTGAACACAAATCTTCATGCCTTTGAAGTAACCTCAAATGTACCATTCTCCTTCCATGTCAACATTTTCTTTTCTTGAGGAACCTAGAGAGTTTAGACAATGCCGTAAGCTCTTAGCTCAATAACCCTTATGAGCATGCCTTGCTCATTTTGCTTTGTGGTTGTACTTTTCATACAAACTCCTATCTTGCGTGGTGATCTGGATGGAGAAATTTATGTGTCACCCTGAAGGCTTTAAGAATAAAACCAGTCCTAACTTGGTTTGCAAGTTGAAAAAAGGATTGTATGGTTTGAAACAAGCATCTAGACAATGACATAAGAATTTGGTGAAGGAATGGCCAATGTGATTGGAGTGTTCCATCCCACTCTAATGTTGATTATGATAATTTCCATGATTTGTATAAAATTTAACATTTCACTTGTTTGTGTTTTTCTTGATTGACTTGTATTTAGCTTGGGGAGAAAATGTTGGAATGAAGTGATAAAGATGCTTCAGAATTTATGAAGTATGAATATGGATTGCCAATATTTTCAAGGTTTTTGGGAGATATTGATGTAATGGATCTATGTGATATTGGATCAACCACCGTCGTGCTTATAGGTTTATAAGCGATGGTTCATCTAAAGCATGCGTGAATGCAAGATGGCTCCAAGAGCTCGAGGATGCAAGTGTTGAAGTAGGTGGAGTTTATATGAGAAGTACAAGCACGATGCAAGATGAGCAAGGCATGCTTATAGAGGTTATTGAGCTAGAGAGCTTGCGGCATTGTCTAAGCTCTTTAGGTTCCTCAAGGAAAGAAGAACCTGATATAGATGGAGAATGATGCATTTGAGGTTACTTTAGAGGCTTGAAGATTTGTGTTCAAGTGGGATATTGTTATTTATGTGCTTGGTGATTTGTTTTCAAGTGGGAGATTGTTACATGTGTGAAGCCAGATCACACATGTACTTCTTTTTATTTGACTTTTCTTCTCATTTTTAGGCCATGGGATTGATTTTTTAATCCAAAGGTTGTGGTGTCTTCTATGCTCCAATTATAAGAGGCTAAACTTCTTTTGTTTAGGGAGAGAAAGAGAAGAAAAGAAAGAATTCATGTAGGGCATGGCTGTACCATGTTTCCCCCCTCTTTGTAGAGAGAAAGTGGGGATATTGGGTCATATACATTTGGGTTTTTTGTACCCTGCTGCTGGCACTGTTTTAAAAAGAGAAATTGTAAACTTTGAAGTGTTGTGGACCTTGTTTTGGGTCTTGTTTGTAGAGAGATAAAGTTGCTAGAAATTAGAGCTTTAGATCTCAATCGCTCTTGTAATCTTCATCAATTTAGTAAGTAAAGCCTTGCACCATTCTCCCGTAGATGTAGGTCATGATTTGTGATTGAACCACGTTAAATATTTGTGTTCTGTGAGTTGAATATTGCCATATTTTTATTCCTTGATGATGCTTTGATGCAATATTCTTTCCATTGCTTGTTTATGTTATATTGATGCACAATAGCTATAACTTTGACACACCCTTACTGATTTTTCACCACCGATCAACAACAGGGAAGATGTATACATTTTAGTAGAACTCATTCACTGTAGTTGTGTGTATTTGTTGTGTAGATGGAATCTCATGGTTGCAATAAAAAAAAGGGAATCTCATGGTTGTGACCAGGGATTTAAAAGTCGTTGAGTCGGCACAAAATCGGTCGATTCTACCTGGGAATCGGTCATCCCGTGCCGATTCTCGCTTATAACAAGAAATCGGGCGTGTCTAGAGGCAAACCGGCGATTTATAGCGATAACTCGGCGAGTCGCTACATTGACACAGGCGATTTCAATCGGTAAGGGTAAGCTCTGAAATTTTTTAAAAAGTTCAGGGCATATTTGTTGCCCGGACGTCACGGGGTTCATAATATGTCACTCACTGGATCTCAACATGAGGTACACACGTTACACACCTGCTAACGCACACACATTAACAGGAGCCACCACAAACAATTTATACAATCAAATATTCTCTACATATGAGAGAGAGAGAGAGCTATTTATAAAGTATGTAATTTACTTTATAGTATGTAATTTATTTTATACATTGAAGTATGTAATTTACTTTATATATTATACATATGAGAGAGAGAGATCTCTTTATAAAGTATGTAATTTACTTTTTACATATACACTATTATACATATGAGAGAGAGAGAGCACCAATATCCTATTTTCACGCACTCTGTTTGATGGGAATTATCCTACGTCGAAGTTTTAGAGAACATTTGATTGGTATAAATTGTTTGTGGTGGCTGCTTGTTAATTTGCGTGCGTTAGTAGGTGTTTGACGTGTGTACCTCATGTTGAGATCCTGTTAGTGATGTGTTATGAACCCGGTGACGTACGGGCAACAAATATGCCCCGAACTTTTTAAAAAATTCCAGAGCTTACCCTTACCGGTTGAAATCGCCCGTGTCACTGTAGCGACTCGTCGAGTTATCGCTACAAATCGTTGGTTCGCCTCAAGACACGCTCGATTTCCTGTTATAAGTGAGAATCAGCATGGGATGATCGATTCTCTGTTGAATAGTCCGATTCTATACCGACTCGGCGACTTTTAAATCACTGATTTAATCCATTCTTTATTGTAGTCCATGTATGATTATATAATTCATCCATGATAATTCTATGATTTTTCTTTTGTATGATGTAAATTTAATGGCTAACATAAGTTCATACATGGAAAAAACATCTCAATATTCGCATATTGATGAAAATGAAAGTTAATAATGCAGTATCCCCATTTCTTATTGGATTCCTAAAAAGCAATATTTATAATGAATTTTAGTAATTTTTTTGGATTTTTTTTAAGGCTTAATTTACCTGTTCGGCCGATTCCCGATTCGGATCGCCGATTCACTGATCCGGATGGGTTTTTGGGGTGCCTGATCCGGGGCACCGATTCGTTTTTTAAACACTAGTTGAGACCATGTGATTAGACTTTTACCTTTTATCCATAGGTTCACATGGAGGTTGTGACTCGCAATGTGTGGAGTATCCATGCCAAACTTACCCGTGGTATACTTGGTTTTTATGAAGATGCTTTTTGTATCTTTTTGTAATGGAAAAATAAGCAATTATCAGAATGCAACATGCGAAAGAATACGTCATGTGATGGTGCTGATAATGTTTCCCCTCCAAAAGTTGCTTTGGTTGTCATTGTACTTGAGGTTCCAAGTTCGAACCCTGGATGTAGGATTTCTAAAATCATTGATAGATCCCTAAACATTTGAATTAGGTTTCCTCTTTTCAAAACATAGGTTGCAACTTCTTGACATATTGTAAGATAATTATTTAGTGTAAGCCCCTCTGGAAACATGCAACATAGCTTCCCAAACATAGCTTCCCAAACACGCCCATCTCCTAGAAAAACGATCTCACCACTCACCCCTTCAGCTTATGTAGTCCAATCGAAGTTATGTTTTTTTTTTTTGACATGGTTACATAGGAATCGAACTTGAGACGTTGTGCTATGAAAATCCAGCCTCTACCGTCTTGACCCAAGCCCGAATCCAGTAATCAAAGTTATGGTTAAAACCCCTAGTCTGAAGGATGTGAGCTATAGACCATAACTAGCCTCATGCCCAAAAACTCATATGACTGAAAACGAATCATCACTTCGCAATCATAATGATTTTGCTTAATTCTCACTGTACCTGGGTGGTGTAGCATATCGCTTAGGAAGAATGCCCTAGCATGAGCATATAACATAGATTTACGATGCATGATAAGATGTGGCAAAGTTTTGCTGGCTGCCTACTTAACGCAACCCACCTCCTTGACCCAGGCTTGGGACAGGTTACTGGAAAGTTTACGGTCCTCACCCTTGAGGCAACAAAATTGAGACAAGGAACATTCTCACTACATTAGGAGCCTAATCTCACGTACTTTTGGCTTTCCAGTGCAAGGCAACACAACACTATGGCATGGTCTTGACTCGTGAGAGCACAGTTCCAAATACAGTTCCTAATGAGAACATTGAAATTGCAAGCAAATAAAATTGTTAAGGAAATTAGAACATTGAAATTGCAGGCAAATATATTTTTTCTGTTGAATATTAGGAATTTGATAAATTTTGGGAATTCTTTTGGTGGCCACTTGAGTTTGTGTTGTGAATTATTCTAAAGGATTTCTGGGGATGATTTACTTAGTAATCAATGGTTTCAAGGGGCAAGGTGATTAAGTCAAATTTTCTTTTACTAATTGGCATTTTGTGTTTTGGCTATTTGCTACTGCCTCAAGTGTAACAGTAACTTAGTTGCTAGATGCCAATATGTTGTTTGAGTGCAAGGTTGGTCAGTTGGTATATGGTTTATTTAATTTAATTAATGGGATGGATTAATTGATTTCCATATTAATTCCATTGACTACTAGAGAATAGAGATGGCAAACTCAGTTACTCTTTATCAGGCTATCAGGTTATTTGTGACTCAGAAAAAGGATATATTAGAGACATATTTAATTAAAACCCTACTATCATGTAAATCACATATTCCTGTTATCTTTGCATTCTTATATTTTTTATAATTTTGTAAGTGTTTTAACTTATTGGCTGCATTAGAGGTGATGTGCCTGCATCATGACCACATTGTCTAGTTCTGGGGCAGATGGTCGTATGAATGGGATTCGACTGTTATGGGATTATTGTATGTTTATGTGTGATTTTCAGTTATAGTTTGTCTGCATTGGGTTCCTATTCATCTGCTTCTATATGTCAAAACTATAATAGTATGGTAGTTGTTAGTCTAAATCATTTCTTTCCATTAGCATACAAGGATTTCCAGGTCTTCATCTTCTATTCAGAAGTAAATAATTTCAGTAGGATCATATCATGTGCAGTTTGGAAGATATTTTTCTCTTCCTTCATGTTCAGTAGGATTTTTTATTTTACTGATTGTAGTTCAGCTTGTTCAGACTGCAATAACAGCATATGAACTGTATATTTGTTGTTGCGGTACACCGGATGTCACCCATCTGATGATAAATGGTGTTTTGCTTATGCAGATGTATTGATAGCAACCGAGTCAGTTTTCCCAGGATCAAATGTGGGTGTTACTTCTTTTTCTCTTTCACTTTTATCATTCTTTCTGTTTGAGTCCTGGGGATTTGGTGATTTCAGATCTGAGCCTCATTAATGAGAGAACTTCCAACTCAAAACACAAACATGACTTGTTTTGGGAGTTCGTCAGAAAGTTTATGAAAGTTTATCTTTTTCGTGAGCCAGATTAGTGACTGACTGCTCATGCATTAACATTATTTTGTTGTTTTTGCAGGAATTATCTGCTGAAAGTAAACATGTCCTTGGTAAATTTCCATTTACTTATTTGCTTGTGAGTCTGAAGTGTGTGTTTCTCATATTGGTATTTTTATTCACATGATATTGTTGGTTTCTATTATTTGTGAACTCTAGATACTTTGATGAACATCTACATAAGGACCATGAATGAGGATGATGACAAGGAAGTTGTTGCCCAGACCTGTACAAATTTGGCAGAGATTATCAAGTCCTCTACATATGTGGCTATTGAGTCTTGTAAGTGCAAATTTCGTTTAGAAAGAAATTTTTGAGAAGCTTACCATTCCAAATATATATTTTTGAAATTCTGAAGTATAGTATTATAATATCTCGAGCCCACACCTCGGTTCCAACCCCCTTGGGACCCCTTGAACCGTCTCATTGAGCCCACACCTCGATTTGATCGCTTCTTTTTTTATCTTTTTGACCATAAGGTCTGTGTATAATGCTCGTATAATTTTCGCTCCCGTAAGGGTTTTTGCCATCGAGCACCCGATTTGTGAGTGGCCGACTTTTTGTACACTCCTTATACTCAATACATCAGTTAACACTCTCAAAAAAACGAGAGGAAGGTATAGTATTATAGTATCTTGTCCCCTGAATCCAGATGTGCCAAGGCTTGTTGAATCAACGCTGGTTCTGTTGCGTGAGGAGTCTGCTTGCCAACAATTGGAGTCGGACAGTGATGTGGATGAGAATGATGCAGAGCATGATGAAGTTCTCATGGATGCAGTCTCAGACCTTCTTCCTGCTTTTGCCAGGTGTTTGGTCTATCGTTTTGAACCAGTCCTCGATAGATTCTTTCAACCCCTCATGAAATTTGCAGTAAGTGAATCATCATCCTCTTTTTTTTTTTTCTGAAGTTCTTTTTGGGTTAATGTTGCACTTTCCTTTTAGTTACTGCACCATCCATGTAAATGGGGCCTATATAACCGACATAGTTGGGTGGTCTGAATTGTACAGATGTGTGCTGTTACTAAAAAAGTGGGTGTAGAAACTATCTCCCATTCTTTATCTATGATAAATCACTTCTATTTTGCATCTTTTCTGTATTTATGCATGCCGTTTGTAATTGCAGAAAGCTTCACGCCCTTCAGAAGATCGAACTATGGTGGTCGCGTGCCTTGCGGAGGTAGCTCAAGAAATGGGTGGCCCTATTGCTAAATACATTGATGTGAGCTTTCCTAAACAACACCTTATTAATTTTCTTATTTTTTGGTTATAAAGAGAAAACCAGAAACTGATGGATTAGATCCAGTTTTCTTATACTTGCCTTCACTATATAAAGAGTCCACTTATACAGTGCTTGGTGCTTTCAGAAATTGATGCCACTTGTACTGAAAGAATTGTCATCATCTGAGGCAACAAACCGGAGGAATGCTGCATTCTGTGTCGGTGAGCTTTGTAAGAATGGTGGCGAGGCTGCTCTGAGGTATATATTTAAACTAAGATACCACCTGAAGCTTTTAAGGAGTATATGTCCCAGGGATATCTATTCTGCATATATTAAGCGACAGTTAAGGGTAGGGACACATGTCATTCAATGAGAGTAGGATCCTATAGAAAGAGAAACTTTAGGGTAAGGTACATATTAAGTGGTGCCCTAAAAAGTGGGAATTAGTGTAACCTACCACCTAATCTAATTCTCTTCCTATGGTAAATGCCTTTATTGGTAATTTAATTGAAATAGGTAACCTAATTGGAAAAGGAAATTCATAGTTAAAGATTATTTTATATTTGTCCACCATAGGAGTAGATATTTTTTTATGTTTGCACACAAAAAATTATCTTCTATTTGAGGATTAATAGCTCTTTATTGGAAGCGTAATCCAGAATCCCCATTTTCTATTTTTGTTTTTGGAGAAGAGGTTTTTCTATTCATTTTTGCCATATTGAGAGTTTCTTTTTTTTTTGACAAGGTTACATAGGATAGGAATGGAACTTGAGACGTAGTGCTGTAAACCCAGCTGCTACTGCATCACCCAAGCCCCATATTGAGATTTTAATCACAATAATAGATTATAATCATAATAAGAGAAGCATGTACTATTCTCAAAAAAATAAGAGAAGCATGTATTGCATGTGCCTCTTGCTAGTGCTAGTATATGCGATGATTTTTAGTTTACAGCTCAGCTCAAAGCATTAGCATATGTGGGTTTTTCCATATGCTCACTGACATTTTTGAAGCCCTTTTCAACTTAACACGAATCTGAAAATTGAGTAAATCTTGATATTTTTCTTATCAATCTCTTTTATTAATGGTCAATTAGTATACATGTTTACAGAACAGAGAAAGTTACACAGGGTACACTGCTGTAGTGAATCTCCAAAATCATTTGCTTCTTTATGAACGTGTAAAAATGATGTTGGTTTTATTGATAAGGATCATAAAGAAACAACACGTCATTTGTACAAGCAACCTGAAGAATCTTATCCATTTTCCACTATAGTTTCGGCCTCCAAATGCTAGGTTTATCCCTAGCAGACATCCAAACATGTTATGGAGTTATCTTACATGACGAGTGGACCTTATACAATTTCTTAGGATCTTGAGCATGTCCAAAAGAGCTTTAACCTTTGTTTTGCTGGAGTCCTCCTCCTCAACTTTACCTTAAACGCACAGTAGCTCCAATTCCATGTGCCCTGTATCATTGAGGGAACTCCCTTCATTATAAAGTGCTTCAAGCTGCTAGGAGGGCTTTCCAAATCTGTGTGAGAATCTTAATCTCCTCGTCTTACACTCAGTCTATTCTTCTCTCCTTTGTGATATCTTTAATTCATTGTTTTTAGAATTGGACTTTGGATTGGGATCAGAGTAGTATCCATTTTGGCTTTTTCCAGTTGAACCTCACCTGTGGGCAAGTCAAACCTGCAGAAGCAATTTTTCTTTTTTTCTATTTGGATATAGAAGGTGCAACTCAGAAAGTTATGAATAATGGGAAGAAAGAAAAGCTAGAGATGAAATTCATGATAAACTAGATAAAATTTATGATAAACTAACTCTGAAACAATTAACATGCGATCGATGATCTATCTAGCATATGAGATGTCTGCTTGCCGAATGGCAGGTTTTCATGTGATAAGTTACAACATTGTTTTGAAACTTAGATTTGCGAAAGTTTAACATGTATCTTCGTAACAGATTATTACATTTGGGATGCAGATTGACCGCCCACGTTTTAATTATTCACTCACTGTTTTTCTATCTGCTACCAAAACCTGGGGTGGTAATTCAGAGACACAATTGATTTGGTCACCTATAGTGATACATGGATCAGTGTAAAAATGAAAGACAGAATATGGCCTCTACATTTTCATTCTCTAGCATTTTAGGATCCTCATATTGTTCATCTCGATCAATGTTGTTATTCTCCCTGCTGTTCTCCTCACTTAGCATACGAAGTCAATGATTAGTGAGTCCTGAATTAGAAATAATGGATTAAAATATACGTTGACAAATTTTAAGTTAATTAGTTAGAACGGTGTCATATGTGGATGATGGCTGTAGCAAATCATTCCAAAAAGGAACTATAGAGAACAAGATGGCCATCAGGGGGGACGATGAGTTTCCTTAAATGTAGCATGGGAACATGAGAACCATTGTGAGGGAAGAACTTGAAGCACTGACCTAGTTGCTCTCTATGGACTCCAAATCATGTAAACACTTGGATGAGTTTAGTTGAATTGGCAAATGAATCCTCTTCTTCTTTTTTTTTTTTTCGACTAGATAATGGATCTTCATTAACTTCATGCTGAAGGATTTAGTGTCATGCACTCAAGCGCTCATTGGTCAAAACAGAGAAATCTGGGGGTATTCAAGAATTCACTTGAAACGCAGTGGAATGGCATATCGACTGATAATGTACCCAAACTTACAAGGCATGTGACTGGGATGCCACCACTAGAAGGTTATGTGAAACTTATTTTTGGTGGGGTGGGGGGGGATCATAAGGGATCATTGAGGGTCTACTAGAGAAGAATGTTGATTACCTTAGATTTTTTAGGAAATATTTTACATCATGAGTGATTTAGCTGCGACTTTTCATCATGTCTAGAGGGAGGCTAATGGTTTGTTGAAGGGGGAGTGCTAAAACAATCACTTGTGAGTTCAGAAGTTAGACTTTTCATAGCCCAATCTTTGTAAAGGAAGTTCAAGTAAGGGATGTATACATGTATGTCGATTTTTATCAGATGAAAGTTACGTTAACAGTCAACAAAAAAGAAAAAGAGTAAGATGCACTTGTAGAGAAATTCAATAAAAGGGGAAAAAAATGTCCTTCAGGCAAATGCAAACTATACAATCAACCGTATAATAATTTCCATCTTCGTCTCTTCTCTTCCTTATTTCTTGGCTTGGTCATAGTTTTTCCCCTCCGTTAACTCCATATGTGATAGTGGTTGTGATACCTTTGCTTCCATAATTTTTCTTCTTTCGTGTTCCAAACATACCAGCAGGCACAGTTCTCCTCACTTCATTTACTAGGGGCCTCTACTCATCATGTTTCTTGCTGTTCCATCCTAAGATCACCCTTCTCAAAATTTCTCAGAATATTTCATCCAAGGCAGAATTGCTTATTAAACTCATTGCTTTTCGCAGAAGTTTGAGCATGGTTTCTGTTTGTTTTTGCTCAGCATTTGAATGGAATTTTTAATTTTTACCTGTTTTCTCATACGAAATTTCCTCTAATGTGGTTTAGATATTATGGCGATATACTTCGTGGACTTTATCCCTTGTTTGGTGAATTTGAAGTTGATGATGCTGTGAGGGACAATGCTGCTGGTGCAGTTGCCAGGATGATCATGGTGCAGCCACAGTCCATCCCACTGAATCAGGTTCGTCACTGTCCTGAAACTCTTTCTTCTCTCTCTCTCTCTCTCTCTCTCTCTCTCTATATATATATATATATATATATAGTAGTAGTAATAACGTAACGTACGTAGTACGTAACGTAAGTAACGTAAGTAGTAGTACGTCCGTACCTACCTACCTACTACTACCTACCTAACCTACTACTACGTAC